CTCGAATTGCCTGCCCTGGTCCGTTGTTATTCTGAGTGGGGTACCATATCGAACGATCCAGTTTTCATATAGGGCACGAGCTACAGTTGCGGCTTCCTGGTCCGGTAACGGGACAGCTTTCGGTCATCTTGTGTAGCGGTCTATCATTGTAAGGCAATATCGATGTCCTTCTGAGGGTGGCATAATGATTATATCAATATGGATATGTTCAAACCTTTCCGATGGTAATGAGAAGGTTCCTGTTGGTGCCGATACATGACGGGAAATTTGCGATCGCTGGCATGATATGCAGCTCCGGGCCCATCGTCTGCAGTCGGACTTAATGGACGGCCAGACAGCGCTGTGTTGCCAGTTTAACTGTTGCGTTCGCTCCTGGATGCAACAAGCGATGAACCGTGTCAAATGCACTTTTCCTAAATTTTGGAGGAATGGATGGACGAGCGGTAGCGGTTGAAATGTCGCAAAAAATCAATGTATCCGTTTCAGGAATTTGAATGCGTTTGATGTTTAATGCAGAGTTATTGTTCAGGTATTGCTGTAGTTCCTCATCTAATTCTTGTGCGGCTGCTAATGCTTGGTAGTCTAAATTTGATATGTTTTTTGCATCAACGCGGGATAATGTATTAGCAACTATGTTGTTTTTTCCAGAAATGTGACGAATATCGGTAGAAAATTGTGCAATAAAATCTAAATGACGGAATTGACGTGGAGAACATTGATTTTGTTTCTTTGAAAATGCAAAAGTTATCGGTTTGTGATCCGTATAGATTGTGAAAGGTCGTGCTTCTACCATATGACGAAATTGTTTAACTGCCAAATATATGGCTAAAAGCTCGCGGTCATAGGCTGCATATTTCATCTCGGCAGGACTTAATTTCTTCGAAAAGAATTCTAAGGGCTGCCAACTGTTGTCTATCCACTGCTGAAGGACCGCTCCGACTGCGTAGTTGGAAGCGTCGGTGAATATTGCTAATTGGGCGTCGTGTGCGGGATGAGCTAGCAATGTTGTCTGTGTCAGCTGTTCTTTTAGGACCTCGAAAGCTTGAATTGTATCTGGAGTCCACTCAACCGGTGTTTTACCTTTCGCGTTACCCTTTAACAAATCATTGAGAGGGGCCTGAAGTTCAGCAGCTTTAGGTAGAAATCTTCTATAAAAATTTATCATACCTAAAAACTGTCAACTTTCTTTATGGTATTAGGATGCGGAAGGTCACGAATCGCGTCAAACTAAGTAACCTAAACACTTGACTTGATTTTGTCCAAAAACACACTTGACTGGATTAATTACCACTCCATATTGTTTTAAACGGTCAAATAATGTTCGCAAATGGTCTAGATGTTCTTTTATTGACGTTGATGCGACTAATATATCATCGATATATGCATAGCAGAAATCTAGACCGTGTACCACTTCGTCTATAAATCTTTGGAATGTTTGCGCTGTGTTGCGCAACCCGAAGCTCATAAACATAAGCTCAAACAAACCAAAGGGAGTTGTAATGGTTGTTTTTGGCACATCTTCTTCAGCGACCGGTATTTGATTGAATGCGCGCACTAGATCTACTGTTGAAAACACATTTATACCGCGTAAAGTCTGGGAAAAGCCTTGAATGTGTTTCACGGGATATTGGTCGGGACACGTTCGCGCGTTTAGGACACGATAATCACCACACGGGCGCCACTCGTCATCCTTTTTCTGCACCAAATGAAGCGGTGATGACCACGCACTTTTTAATGGGCGAGCGATGCCTAAACGCAGCATTGCTTCAAACTGTTGTTTGGCACTTTTTAGTCTTTCAGGTGCAAGTCGCCGAGGTTTCTGAATAACTGGGGCACCCGGTGTGGTAATTGTGTGATGCCTTGTTGAGTGTGCCGTTAATTTTGGTGCCCCATCTGGTCGTGTTACTTCAGGGTATTGTTTCACAAAATCGAGAAAGGGTGAAGAACCGGAAATAGTATTTATCGATGGAATATCACACTCAGTTAAGGGAGAATAGAGAGGATAGAGTAATAGTTTGTGTTTATTATAATGATATTTATTGTTATTAAAATATAAAATAAACTTATACGAATCTTCTAAAGTTAAATCTTGCATTACAGCAACAAACATAAAAATTATAATTTTTAATTGTCTGACTTCCTCCTTTTAACAAGAATAATCATATTGCACAAGAGTATTAGTTTATTGTTATTATAATTATATAATACTGCCTCATACGCAAAATTAAACATCAAATAAACTCAATACTGAACTTCTAAACTTAATAATAGTTTTTAATCTAGTCAGACTTCCACTTTGGTAACAAAAATAATCATGTTGCACAAGCATTAAAAGTAATCATCTTAGGTAGGTCCTGTCCTACCTATCCCATATGAAGAAAAGAAAAATTGAAATTAAACGTAAACCTTCCTTACGTGCTGGCAGTTTTGCTACAATATCCAAAATTGTAATAGACCATCTATCAATTTTTTCAGGAAAGTAAGACACATCTCCTTTTCTCTTCAAGTAATTCACAGTAAAGGTTTTTAAGTCCTTTTCTTCAATTCTAGCAACGAAAGCCAATGATGCAATTCGTTTTTCTGAAGGGCATTGAACTAGTACAAAGTCCCCAACATTCAGGCTTTGATCAGTGAAAGGAGTACTGTCAGTTCTTCATCTTCATTATGACTGTCACTAGCATCAGTCGCATCTAAGCCTGAGTCGTCATTCACAGACATGTTATCGTCATTATTGTCCGACTCAGAACTTGATGTGAATATGGATCTCTGTTTTGATTTAGGTTTGGGTTTAGGACGCTTTTTGCCCTTAAGAATTTGCTTGCCTTTTGCAGCTTGCTTTACTGTGGTAAGTGACTTCTCTTTTCTAGTACGTGAGCGAATAGCAGACTTTTCTAAGTTTTTCATCCGAATTAAGTGTGCTGCTTCTATTGCATTTTTCACCGGGGTGTCAGTTAAGATCCGCGAACTTCCTTTTTTTCGTCCTCTTGCGCCCTCTTTACGTGGAGGAGCTTTAGGATACGGTTGTATCATTTCTGGAGATATGAGACCAGGAACTGTCTCTGGACTGCCTCTCTGAACTGTTTCTTCTGTTCTAGATAAAATCTGTGGTACATGTGAAGCTACTATTGGCTGATCAATACCAGGTGCAGGGCTTTCAAGTATACTTGGACTGCTTCTCTGATCAGTTTCCTCTGGTGCGAGAGATGTAGTTTGTGGCATATGTAAACCAGTTATAGCACTTGCTATCACGGGCCCCTCATTCCCGGCAGATATGTCAGGATGAGGACGGTTCGTGACTTCTGCACATTGGAAATTATCGTCCGTAAATGCATTACGGTTAAATGGATATATTCCTGGTCGTGAAAAGCTTGATAATATATTTTTAGGCGTATGAGATGCATTGTATGCTGGACTCACAATGGCTGGTAGATCATGTATCGTGCCCTTGGAAATATGAAAACAGGTGGAACCGTATTACCTGTTGCATTGACTATTGCGCACATTGTTATAAGCTGGCCTCTCTCTGCTGACACACATTGACCTACCTGTTTTACACCCGTGTGCGCAATCACGTTAGGTGCTTGCACTACCGTCATGTTATTGGTCTCGTCCAAATTAAAAATTCGGTCTGGAGTAAAGTGGGTCTTCTGCAGAGCTCTTTCGTAATTATTGTAAAACATTGACACATTATGTTTATTGAAACTTCTGGATCTTGAAATACTCATGTTCTCAGGCTTTCGCAAAGATAAGCTTTTGTGCCTTTTCATAAACCCTTTCATCCATTCTATGCCTGCCATTTTGTTTTCAGTCCATTTTGCAGGACATTTATTAAGAGCTGTTGCATATTCAAAAGCTAACGACCTTCCACTTTTATAGATAAGGCCATAGTTCATTTTTGATCTTCTCAAGAGGTAATTTTGAAGCATTTGTTCCTCATCATTGGTAAATACCTGAGCAACAGTGTATTTACTTGAAAATAGTTCACATCTTGGAGCTATGATTTCATTATATTTTTTAACTCGATAGAAGAGTGTACTCGGCGTCAGTCCATATGTATCTGCAGCTCTTCTAAGTTTCATAGTTCCGTTGATGACGCATAAAACAGCATTTTGGACATCTTCTTCATTAACTGTACTTTCTCGCTTCTTTTTGTATGTTCTAACCATTCTGTAAACAATGAATTACAATTCGTGATGCATTTAATTACAATTAAGTATTACATTTAGAATACATGTATTAGAAAACATTTGAAGTTTGCATTTAAGCCGGAGGGGGGTCACATTTGAACGTCCCGTTCAAATCTGCCCCGTTTGTTTTGATCAAACCTGCCCCATGGTTACTTGGAAGATAAAATATTACAAAAAAATAATGTGAAATAACTGGCAAGCAAAAACTACAAGGTGGATCGAAAACTAATAACTACTGCATAATTTGTGAAAGAATTAGTTGGAAACCTTTACTCACATGATTGTAATACAACATTTATTTTTATTTTTTACTTCGCCGGTACAAATACGACGACAAGTTATAACTCGTTTTGACAGTGAAACACGCGCGCTCTGCGACTTGACGCTTGTCACAACCAGTGTTGCCAATATTAAAATGGAGTTGCGCCATAGATTAACATAAAACTGCGTTCAGAAATCAACATCTTCAAATCTGCCTCTGTGCTAAGGTGCCTCCTTCTCCCCTGCTTCACCTAAGGAAGTAAGATGGGTGGTTAGGTCCAAGAGTCGCTTGTTCTTCATATCTACCAATAGACCGAAATGTGCGAGAAAATCGGCTCCAATGATAGGTTTAGATATATCTGCGATAACGAATCTTGTCGTCGAAGGCCCAAGTTTAATGTTATTGTGATAATCCCAAAAGTAGTGATGTTGGTACCATTTGCTGCGGAAAGTTCATAGTTGGATCTTTCTCGTGGCTCAGGTAGTTCACTGCGTGGGAACACACACAAATCCGCTCCTGTGTCGATGAGGTATTTAACACGTGATGTGTTGTCAGCGACGAACAAACGGCGTGATGACGTAGGGCTGGGGTCGTCGGCCGTCATCAACGACTGCCCAAGTCGTTTCCCGATGTGTTACCGGGATAACTGCACGGGTTTACGTATTTCCTAGCGTTTGCCCCAAAACGCCAATGGTACCAACACATACCACTTTCCCTATCTGATCGCGAACGCGAAACCGATCGCGAAGTAGAAGAACGCGAACTTGAGCGTGAAGGTCTGCGGGAGCGACGGTATTGATACGGGGCTGCACTGTTGAGCTTGATAGCCGCTATTTCTTGCAGCGCCGATGTCAGTGCGTTCTCCAGAAGATCATAGCGGTTGTTGATGACTGATTCGGTAGGTGTTGATGACATCTCCGCGATATTGTTGAAGGTGCCATGAGCCTCGATAATGGAATCGGCAATTTCGGCTCTCTTATCCAACGTGAGGTCTTTATGTCCCACTAGAATTACTTGGACATGTTTTGGCAAACGACGTACCCAAAGTGTTTGAAGTATGTCTTCGGGAAACTCATTTCCAGCAAGATTCCGCAGGTGCCGTAAAAATTGCGTAGGTTTTCGATCACCCAACGGTTCATTGTCTAGAAGTCGTCGCGTATTGTGTTCGCGCGACGAACCCATTCGTTTAATGAGTTCGGTTTTTAACATCTCATACGATCGCTCGTTTCGCGGTTTTAGTATAATATCGCACACTTCTACTGCGTATTTTTGGTCCAAACCACTGACCGCGTACCCGAACTTGGTAGAGTCTTGGGTAATTCCGGAAGCAACGAAACTACTTTCAAGTATGGAAAACCATAGTTCCGGATCTGCTGCTATAAATTGTGGCACTTTAACTGTTACACGGTCGATGGAAATGTCTGTCTGTGCGGTATCACTATGTCCAGTAGCCATGGTTAATTGTTGTTGCTGTATTTATTCTGTACACTTAAACACTATGATAGTTGCTAATTACCGATGAAAGTTTAATTATTTATAAAATACTATTCTAAACTGTACACTTCTGCAATTGTTAAACTCACGCACGTTCCGAATAAACTTACCTACTTGCGTTTTTCGGTCGGGGTCACCAATTTGTGGGTGATTATTGACGATGAAGAAAAACTCTTTGTTGAAGAGAGAAGTAGAGAATTTATTTTACAGAAAATGAAGATGAGTAAAAGAGAATAGCGGAAAGTCGGTAGATGAAGAATGGCTGAGAGAGACTGGTTTTTGGGGGTGCAGAAATTATGTAGCGAACTGAAAAGTGAATATGCNTCACCACGCCATTTGTGGTATTTTCTAAAACGCGCTGTTAAGACAGCAGGTAAAGGTTGGTCTGTGTTCTGTCGAAGCTGCCTGCGATGCGCTGATGAGATCCAAAAAGATCGAAATCGCGATCCGCGTCTGGCAGTTTCGACAGAATACAGACCACTATTTTGTTTGAATAGCGGAAAGTTAGTAGATGTTAATATGAAGAACGACTGAGAGAAGCTGGTTTTTGAGGGTGTAGAAATTATGTAGCGAAGTGTGTTGCGTCTTAACCAATTGTTAAAACGCTGTATTAAAATACAGATTGTAGTTCGAATTAATTTTTATTTTTTGTGCAAGTACAAAGTTTTTTCTTTTTTTTTTGTTACAAGTCAACTGTCCTTATTGGAGTTCAATTTTTGTCTCTCCGAAAAACTTAAGTTAAAACCCTCGGTTACTTAGTCAGGGTCACTTCGTGATGGTACGGTGCGATTTCTAAAAAACTACAACTTATAATTTATGACATGACTGACCACCCTCGGCATGCTGTTAAAAAATAGTCCCCTAAAAATTGTTCCTGCACTTTCTAAATTTACAATCTATTTACAGTTCTTTACAATTTCGAGATTTCTCTTTCTAAGAAAAGGTCTCAACATACCGCCCGCCTTGAAAGAGTATCTTTCAACATAATAAATTATATCCAACTACAAATAATAACATCAATATACAATTTTATACACCTTAAACAGTTAAAATCATCCCTAGCATTAAAATTAATATAATACACACGTTTTATACAATAATCTTAGATACTACAAAATTATTTCACCCATATTTACACAGTTATATTTACACACAATAATGATACGTTACACATTTTTTTTTCAGTTTTATTTAATTTCATTACTATAATACTAGCTTATTCACTAATTGTCCCATAGATCAGTTTTTACTATATTATCCTTATCATATATGCTCAGTCTGTTTCTTTCTTACTTGGTAATTTGTATATTTTTGATACAGGTCTTTTTATTGTTCCTTTTGCTACGCGCACTGACACTACACGAGTCACATTATCACTTCCCACATGAGTATTAACAATACGTCCCAGAGGCCACTGCATCGGCGGTGTGTTATCCTCTCGTACCAGTACCATATCTCCAGGATTCAAATTGAGTTCTGTAGATTTAGTCCATTTTTTCCTTGGTTGTAATATTGGGAGATATTCCAGGTGCCAACGTTTCCAAAAATGTTGTAACATTTGTTGGAGATGTTGATAACGATTAAGTTTGTGCGTGGTTTCATCGCACAGGTTTGCTTGTGGTAGTGCTGTTAATAAGTCTCCAATAAGGAAATGTCCAGGGGTTAACGTGGAGAGGTCATTAGGATCGTTAGACATAGGAAACAAAGGTCTGGAATTAAGGCATGCTTCAACTTGTGTTAACAATGTGTACAGTTCTTCGAATGTGAGCCTTGTCTCACCTTTTACACGTTTTAAATGATATTTTGCAGATTTTACTGCGCTTTCCCATAAACCGCCGAAATGCGGCGCATGAGGAGGAATAAAATGCCAGTCTATATTTATATTTGATGCATATTCCCTGACATTATTTTGAAATGTTATGCTTTTTAGAAAGTGTCCCAGTTCAGCTAATTCATTTCGTGCACCGACAAAATTTTTTCCGTTGTCTGAATATATCGTTTTACAAATACCCCTACGAGAAATAAAACGCTTCAAGCAATTTAAAAATGCGTTTGTAGTTAAGTCAGAAACTAATTCAATGTGAACAGCTTTAGTACTGAAACAAACAAAAATACAAATATAAGCCTTTATAGCAACACGTGAGCGTAGTTTTTCTTTAATTAAAAAATGGTCCAGCATAATCGACCCCACAAACATAAAATGCACGCATTTGCCTTACTCGTGATAAAGGCAAATCACCCATTAAATATATTGATTGCTTAGGATTGAATCGAAAACACGTTATGCATTGCCTTAGGATTTTTTTGATTTGATTTTTTGCTGCAAGTAACCAAAAACGTTTACGTAATCATGCAAGTGCAGTTTGGCAACCTGCATGTAACAATCTTTTATGTTCAGATTCAATTAATAAGTGCGCAAATCGGTGTTTAGCGGAAAGTATCATTTGATGCCTTTGATCATACGGAATAGAGGCATTTTTAACCTACCTCCTACTCTTAATAATCTAGATTCGTCTAAAAATGGATTAAGTTGCAATAAGCTACTAGTTTTTGATAGTTTCTTAAATTTTTCTAGTTCTAATATTTCCTTTGAAAATGTTTGTTGTTGGGAAAGTTTGACTAAATAATTAGTTGCACATTCTAGTTCTATACTACTTAACGCTATGTTCGATTCTTTACTTGTTCTAGTTTTATATTGTGTTACGTTGGTGCTAATATTCCTTAATTTGATTGCCTCTCTACAATTTTTAATAAAACGAATCATATATGCTGTGGTTCTTATCAATTTAGAATACGAAGAAAACCTGTTAAATATATTAAAGTTATTAGTTTCCACTTGGTGGTTCTCTTCTTCGTCCTTTTCTTCATTTACCCTTTGTATTAATAAATTTANGAATCATATATGCTGTGGTTCTTATCAATTTAGAATACGAAGAAAACCTGTTAAATATATTAAAGTTATTAGTTTCCACTTCGTGGTTCTCTTCTTCGTCCTTTTCGTCATTTACCCTTTGTATTAATAAATTTAATTGCTTATCCTTGGCTTCCGGTGCGTTCAAAAATTTAATGTATTCTAATTTTAAGTCCAGATTTTTACTAAATTTACGTTCTATCGTTGTTAATCTTTTATAAGCTAAATTTCTTGAGTTACCTAATTTTGATATGCTATCTTTGAAAGGAATACTTACTACGAAACGTCCACTTTCATCACGTTTCACTGTTTTTAAAAATTGCTTTATTATTAAGTCCGGTTTATTAAGTCCTTGCAATTCTCCGTAACAATGTTCAATTTCCCAAAATCTTTCAAGGGATTTGTGTAATTCATTATTTTTAATTATGTTACATACAACTCCCTTTTCTGGAGCTACATTTATAGATCCAGCGACTATCCATCCAAGTACCGTTTTTTGGAATATCGGCTGGTTTTCATTTAATTTAATTTGACCTACAGACATTAATTGATAAAACAAACTTGCCCCAATAAGTATGTCTACCGGTCTTGAATAGTTGAATTGAGGATCGGCAAGTTCTATACCAGCTGGAATTTGGACATTATTTAACCTAACATGTCGCGAAGGTAAATTGTCGCTAATTTTATCAATTACGATGTAGGTTATTGAGGTCGAAAAGTTATTAATCCGCGATTTTAATTTTGTCGTTGCCTTACATGCAACATGCCGAGTGCCCTGATCTATTCCTGACAAAGTAATGTTGGTTTTTAGTTGTTCCAACCCTAATTTTTTACATAATGCTGCTGTCATAATATTTGGCTGAGAACATGAGTCTAACAATGCTCGACATTCATGCTCTCTTCCCTGCTTATCATACAACAATACATTCGCGGTTGCTAGGAGTACATAAGATGCTGAATTTGTTGTTGTTAATGCACTACATGTTAACTGAGGGCTAGCAGAACCCGTTGGTGCTTGTACCTCAGTTGATGTTTTTTCAACGTGAAGCAAATTATTGTGCTTTCTTCCGCATTTTTTGCATGGACCAAAACTACAATTTTTATTTTGGTGGCCACTAGCTAAACAGCAAAAACATAATCCTAGTTCCTTAACTTTAGTTATTCTTTCAGGTGGTGAAAGCCTTTTGAAACTTTCGCAGGCGTACAATGGGTGTGCACCCTTACATAATGCACATGTTTTGTTGTTTATTGTTGTTACCGCATACGATTTTATATTATTATTTCGTAAGGGAACGTTCTTATTTAAAAACCTACTATTTGTTTTCTCATTATGAGAATAATTATCAACAACTGTTTTTTCTAGAAATTTGCAATGATTCTCTAAAAACCTAACCATTTCCTTAAATGTCGGCATTTCAGCTTTACCCGCTAAAATTCTTTCCCATTCCTTATTAANTGTATTTTTTCCCTTCAAAAAGCAATATTTTATCAACACGCGAAATTCCTTTTTATCCATTTTTTTCACAATAACAAAAGTTGCTTCACTAAAAATGCTATAATTCACAAACTAATGATCCGACAACCGTTAAATTTATAGACGCGTCTTTTGAAGGTTAGGACTAACTGAAAATCATATGGATTTAGTTCTGGTGCCGCCATCGATGTGTCAGGCCGGGGACTTTTCAATTGACCCTAGTAGATCCAGCGACTATCCATGCAAGTACCGTATTTTGGAATATCGGCTGATTTTCATTTAATTTAATTTGACCTACAGACATTAATTGATAAAACAAACTTGTCCCAATAAGTACGTCTACCGGTCTTGAATAGTTGAATTGAGGATCGGCAAGTTCTATACCAGCTGGAATTCTGCAAAAAATTTAAAAAACGTGTCAAACTCCCCTTGTCCTTTTAAATTTTAATTGGTCCATTGTTATTCAATTTATCTGTACTAGTTAACACATGTTGAATGGTTTTAAGAGGATGGAAAAAAAAATGATAATTGGAGACTTACGTTTATTCTGTTGATTTTTTTTCTATTTGATGTACG